ATATAAACAGTATTCATTTTGTACATAAAACAATTATTCAAAGAAAAATTTAGAATTTTACATCAAAACGTTATTACTTATTGCTTATCAAATTAATTTGTAATGCCTGACTTAAAATATTCATGATATACGTTATGCAAAGCATAACGCTTACTAGAATACATAGATTTGCTTCCAAAATCATCACCATATCCACTACGGCCACCATCTCTCCCTCTAAAGCCTCCTCCAGTGCCACCACCAGTGCGACCTCTTCTATCAAAACCACCTCCTCGATCATTCCTTTTACCTTCTGCTACATCTATTTTTATAACACTGTTGTCTACTTCTACTGCACCATCCATTTCCAATGCAGCCTGTAAATCTGCCAACTCTTCAAATTCAACATAACAAAAGCCCTTAAACCTACGAAAAGGAAAAGACGGACAAGTCAGAAAAATATAAATGTTAATATAAAAATAAAAATGCTCCTTTGCGATCATACAAAAATTAACTTGAATTACATATATACTCGTACCTATCTGTTTCTTTATCCTTAACCAATCTGATTCCTTTAACATTAAGTTTCTTAAAGATTTTGTCAACATCTCCTTGTACAATTCCATTTGGCAAATTTCCCACAAAAGCGGTATAAGGTGGTTCAGTTGGCAATGGTTTTCTGCCACTTCGAAATCCACCACCATAATCTCTGTACAAAAACAATTTACATTCTTACAAAGAAACTCTATCAAATAAAATGTTATATCATAAAATAGCATTTTATATACGGAATATATATTGTGTACAAATTTCGCATAATTAGTATCTGCGAATGAATGAAGCACAACTTTTACGTTTTGTTATTTTTTAACTTCATTTGACAAAAAAATAACACTTCAGAATTCTTACACACAATAAATATTTACTACCCTTCAAACTACACAGATTTTTGTATTCGTTTTTAAAAATTAACTAGAAAGTAACAATAGTGCGTGAAATCTTACAATTCTGACATTTATTTAAGCACTCTCAATTTTCTCAAGCACGTATTCCAGCTCGAATAACATGGAGTTAATTACTTTTGTCTATCGCGTCAAACGATGTTTTTTATCAAACGGGGCGTGTATATTTCACAAACGGTTAGTCAATATTCTCGTTAATAACGCTACGGCTAAAATCACACTATTGTTTAGTCGGCCAAAATAAAGCCGCGTGTCGGGGGCACCATATCTACAAGGTGCTGCGCTTACACTCCAATCGAAACTCACTTAACCTTAAAATCGAGAAATTATCAAAGGGATAGGGCATTTCTTTGTCAGTACGATAAACTGATCAAATTGCACCCTCGCACCATATTAAAAACTCTTAATAACTGTCGGACACGAAAGAAATTGTAACCTATACTTGCCTTGAATCTTCGTAACCACCTCGACCAGCCATATTGGATATATGCAACTGACCGGGACCGCGCGGATCGAGTGCAATACTATGTTCAAGATGGCACTTTCCTAATTACTATAGAATTTGAATTCGTAAGTCCATGCAAACTCGCTTTAGTTAGGTACTGTTGTTTCTGTTAGCAAATTTCGATGATACTCTACAAAATTGAACAAAAACTTGCAACGAGGAATGTAATTACCGTTACCTTCATTATATTTTTACGACAGTTAAATTGCGATCTTTTAAAAGTCTTTTTTTTTTTTAGTTCTTTTTAAAAATGTAACTTATTTATATAGTCGAATTGCACAATGTTACTGAAAATTTTTATTTATAGAAATCCGACAATTTTGCAGAGATATACAAAATTTTTTAACGAGAACGATTGACAGTTGTTCTGTAATTCAGAAACTTTTGAATTTAATTCAAGATTTTATATCACTCCCTGTTATTTTTTTCATTTAAATGACGATTATTAAAAAACTGTTAAAAGGCAAATTAGTTCGATTGTTTTTATATATTTTTCATCTAGATATTTATTAGATTAGCGTAGTTTCTAATTAAAATAAAGCAAGATGGCAGACGAGACTGTGCACATGGTAGAGATTGGTTCAAATAATTCGAAAATGAAAGATGTGAATAAAATGGATTGTACAATCTTTGATTATTTTACTAAACTCAGAAACGAAGTAGAATCTGAAAGAATACAGGGTGGGATTATTTTGTTAAAATATTTAATTCAACAAAATTCAGTAAGTGTTTATTTACAGATAACCTCAAAATAAATCATTTTTGTACGAGACAGTGAAAAATAATCATAGTTTTTAATCGATAAATCATTTACGAATTTACAATTGTTCAGGAACACAATGAGAGTCAAGAATTTAAGTATGCCATGAAAAGGTTGATTCGGAGCTTAGGCTCTTCGAAAACGACTTCACGTATAGGTTTTTATACAACTTTGACAGTCTTTTTAACTACGAATTCTGGAATGTCTGTAGAAAATTTTTTATCTTTAATAGACAATGAGTTACATCCAGTAAACAGCAACAGTAAAAGCGTAAGAAATTTAATTTGTTTTGTATTACGATAGATACAATTTATGTTTAATATTAATTATATCATTTCAGGAAAATGGTGATATTTATATGGGACGTATATTAGCATATGGAGCTTTAATAAGATCTAAAATACTTTCAAAGAATATTGATATAATACAGCAACAAATTATTCAAGATCTTATCAATGCAGGCAAACAACGCAGTTATTTATCATTTGTTTCTATCTCATTTCTTATTGAATTCATAAATCAAGTTGATACTGAATGTATTAAAAAATTAATTTGGCCAATTGTTGAGAAAGAATTTGGCAAACCATGGGCACAACAAACATTAGATTCATTTTATGCTTTGTTAGTAATAAAAAATAAGTGTCCGTTACTTGTAAATAATGAATTTTCAAAGAAACATTTTGGTACAAACGATATTATCACTAAGGAATCTATGAATGATATAGTGAAAGTATTACTGGTAAGTGTATATTGTAATTTTAATTATACAAATTATTTAAAAAAAAACTGCTAAATAATGCGTTATTAATATTTAGGATATACCCAGAATTGTATCATGTCATCATCCAATATTTAAGTTGTTTTGTGAGAATTTAATGTCAACTGAACTTACTGTAATTTTTTGGACTCATATAGATCAGAAATTTGCAAAGCCATCTAAAACTGATGAATATGTAGCTTTACAAATTCTGAAATTTATATTATCAAATATTATAGATAAATCTATGCTCCCAATGTTATTATCGCCTAATTATATGCAACATATGTTAAAAAAATGTTCTGGATCTAAACATCATAACAAAGATGAAGTACTTCTTGGATTTAAAGAAGTTTTAAATTTACTAACATCTGTTACAAACAGTGATGATACTAAAATGAAAATACAAATTGCTGTATTAAAGAAATTAATACTGTATCCGGGTGATTTAATGATTGAAAAAAAGACAGGTACAAAAATAATTCAAATGTTTACTGGAAACTTGAATTTAGATGGTATAAAGAAAGTATCAAAAATATACAGAGGTATAATGGAAAATACAATACCTCGAGACAAATCAAATGATAAAGCAAAATCTTTTTGGACAAATACAGAAAGAATTTATGCTGCTCATTTATTAACAAGGTATTCAATATTTTAAGAAGTGCAATGTAATATCTTTTATCTTTGTGCAATCTCATATATATATGTATAAATATATCTAATTTGCTTATATTTTATTAGATTAATAGGACATTCTAAAACGTTTGTGGATAGAGAATGGAGGTTGGATCAGTTGAAATTTTTATTTGCTTATGGATTATGTGAAATGCCAAATGTTGGAGTAGATTTAGCTTGTAAGTTTTATTTATATGTAATATGACATATGTGTATATATATTTTTTTATGTCTTCAAATGTTTATATCTTCAAATGTGTTGTTTATAACACAGTTTATGACACTTTTTTTTTGTTTTTTATAGCACAGTTTAAGGAAACATTCTATCATGCACTAGATCATAAATTACCAAAGTTGAGTGATCTACGAAATATATTAAGTGATTTAGTTCATTTTGTAAATATCTGTTTGAAAGAACAAATGTTGAAATTAAGAAATCCATTAATAAATGAAGAAAAAGATTCTTGGGACAAAATGATATGTTTGATTAAAAATTTAGAAAATAATTCAAAGAAGACAGAAGCTGTACCAATATTTCATACAATGAATCTACATATGGGTTTACAATTATTTTCAGACCCACAAATGGCAGTTATGGCTATTAATGAATTACAAAGTTGTTATGAAAGAGTAATAAAACAATCTAAAAAACATAAAACTATTAATAAAAAAAAGCCAGATGATGAGCCAGAATGGGTAGAAGTAGTTGTTGATTTATTATTATCTTTTTATTCTAAAAACAGTCATTTATTACGATCATTAGTAGGATGTGTTTTTCCACATATTTGTCCCTATGTCACGCCAACAGCTATACATCAAATATTAGCGGTATGCAAATGTTATAAATTAATAAGACAAATTAATAAAAAATCAATATCTGCTATGTTGTATATTTCAAAATTTTTATTTTTAGGTATTAAATGTGAGAAATGAGACAGGACTACTTGTAACAAGAAATGGTCTTGACAGCGAAGAAATTTCATCAGATGCAGAATCAAATTATATTAGTGAAGATGATGATGAAAGTGATGAAGAAAACGCTAATGGCGAAATGGAGAGTTCGTCGGAGTCGAATGACTCTGATTCGAATGAAGAATTATTAGATGAAAATGAAGATGAGACACTAACTGATAGACTACGAATGGCAGTAAGTCAAGCATTAGGTGATGTTTCCATCCAAACAGACGATGATGATATAAATGTAGATAACATTGGCGAAGAAGAAGGAAAGCGATTAGATGAATCATTAGCGGCAGCGTTTAGACTTCTTCGAGAAAATCGTCAATCGCGATCCAAAAAACAAGAAAAATCAGCCCAAGCTTTAACTCATTTCAGAATTCGAGTTATAGATTTACTAGAGATTTATTTAGATTGTGCTCCATCAATGGTAATTGTACTTGATATTGTACTTCCCCTTTTTACATTATTGGAATATTGCATAAAAGATCCGCATCAAAAGTCTCTTCAAGATCGGGTTCGATCTTGTTTAAAAAAGTTATCAACAATAAAAAAATTTAGAGATACAGAAAATATCAACGAAGAATTATTAATAGTAATATTAAAGGTAATTATTTAATATATAATGTGCAATTAATAATTTTATATTAATATATAACTAGAAATTGTATATTTCTAAGGCTTTAATAGAAAAAGGAGAAAGAACTACCTCTGTTTATCATGAAATAAGTGATAAGTTAGCGGAATGCTGTACATTCCTGGTGAAATGTACACAGCAGGCTAATGTGTCGACAGATAAAATAACTAAAATTTATGGAGAAAATTTAACGTCCTTCTTCAAAAAAAGAGATTGTGTACTATCTCCTTTGTTGTTTAAAAGCATTTTACAATTACAATGGGAGGGTAATTGGCAACTAGCTCCTTTATTAGTAAGTTTATAATCTTTAATCCATTTTAGACTAATTGAATTTTTAATAACCTTATACCTATTTTTACAGGTAGACTTTGCTTTTGATAGTACTGTAAGGTCTTTTCGTCGAGGATATGCACTTGAATTTTTAACGATATTTTATAATAATAGTCGATTAATTAATTTAAATACAGAACATTCTAGTATAAGAATGAAATTAGAGAAAAAGTTATGCAGAAATACCATAAGTACACTTCAAGAAATAATTAATACGCACAAAAATAAACAAGCTGTTACAGCTAATGGTACTGAAATAGGAAAAGAGATTAGACAAAGGTATATTTATCTTTTATTGATATTGTTACGAAGTATTTATACTCGTCATTTACAACAAGCATGGAATTGGAATGATATTGGGAAAGTACTTGCAACGTATAGAACTCGTGCATCACTTGGTAAAGATACAAAAGTAGCATATAATAGGTTAGCAGTACAAATTGGAATTCCACTGAACATGTGAGTGTTAATTATGAAAAGTATAATGTTAAAGTTTTATTATATTATTGTATAAAATCATTTGTATTCATTTCATTGTTTCAGATCACAAAAAAAAGTTAAAAATAAACAAAATACTACGACAAATGGGGAGATAAAAGATGTGACAAATAACGTAGAACAATTAAATAATACACAAGAAAATGGAAGTGCAGAAAACGAAACGGATGCTATTACATCAAGTAAAAATGAATCCAAAAAGAAAAAAAATAAAAGTAAACAGAGAGATAAGCAATTATTAAAAAAGGAAGCTCGGATGTTACGTGAAAAAGTAATGTCTGAAGGTTTTGAACCTTTTAATTTTAGTTCTCTTGTCTTTCGCGATCAGTCAGATAAAAAGTCATCACCTCTTGAGAATGGAAATTCTCAAATTGAACAGACCAGTTCTAATTGTTCACAAAAGAGGACGTCCAAAAGTATATTAGACGGCAATAAAGCGAAAAGAAGAAAAAGCATGGAAACTGCTTGATACATGAAAGGAAAATAAATTATTATTTTTGTATAAGCATTTATGAAAATATGTATCAAAGAGATTTTTTGTACAGCTTTAAAATATATAATAGATAAACCTCTTGTGTAAACTATTAATATTACATCAATAAATAAATTTCTTATACATCGTTTTAATAATAAATGTAAATAATCATAAATTTTTATGATTATTTCTCTGCATTGATTTCATATTGATTGATACGTATACAATAATTCTATATGCAAAATTGTCCTTTCGTAATTCAAATCAAAAAATCACGCATTCTTGGTTTTTGTTATATGTACTTAACACATTAGTTATTTTCATACATCTAACACTATACATGTATAGCGGGTAATTTGTTTATTCAAAAAATGTTTTTACATTTTATCGTTAGAAAGTATCATTGATGAAATGATGAACTGAAATTTCATGTACTGTGTCATGTCCCGGACAGAATCTCTGCAACTAAAGAATATCGCTAGCATATCGCTCCACAGGAACGTGAAGGAAAAGGATCGTTTCCATAGGAAAAAGTTAAGATTAAAGAAATGTGAGTTTCGTCTCGGAGAATCGCCACAGTTAGACCTTGTTCTCATCAGTAGGTACTTGATGGCGATTTTTTCCCTAAACGCTTAGATGAGAGCGGAGCGACATCCATTCTAGAACTGGGTCGCAAGCGACGTGCTTAACTTTACGATGATCGCCATTGACCCATAGATCAGCTACATTCGCTATAGGTTTGGAAATCGAAGATTTAGAACTTGTGTTTGTGTACAACGAAGTGACGTCACAACTGACACTATTGAAGTTAACCATTAAGGTTAGGGTAGTTTCTACAAAGTATAGATGCTTTATCTGCAATAATATTTCTGAATATATTTTTACGTTAATATTGAAATTTAAGATGAAAAAAGCAAGAAACGAACCCAAATCCGAAGAAACGAACCCAAAGTGGTATGAAGAATATTCTAAAGGAGAAGGACCATATAAACATTCAAAACTGGAAATAGAAATATCACATTTAAGAAATGAGGCAAAGAAATATCTAGATTCGGAAATTTCTGTTTTTCAGTTGAAAGAATCAAAATATACTGATTCAGAAACAACATGGTTGAGAACAGCATTAACACAGGGTACAACATCAGATAAAGTAGCTGCTGCTATTGTACTAGTGCAAAATAATCCAAAATACAATCTACCTCGACTTATAAAGCTTGTAAACCAAGTACGAGTTGCAAAACACAATCAATGCAACATGATAATAAAATCCTTAAGAGATCTGTTCTTGTTCGATCTACTTCATCCTAAATTCAAATTACTGAGATTTGAGGAACAAAATTTAGATGAACTTGTCAAATTTAATTCTGAAAGTACTGATTTGTCAAAAAAAAAACTAATGGTTCATTGGTATTTTGAGGACCAATTACGTGAACAGTATGAACACTTTGTAATGTCTTTAGCTACTATTGCATCTGATACAGTGGATGTAAATCGTGAGGTAGCAATATCAGTAATGACAGATTTATTAATAGGAAATGCTGAGCAGGAACATAAATTGTTAGAATTGATTGTTAATAAAATAGGAGATCCGAGTAGTAAAATAGGATCTAAAGTTATATTTTGTTTAAATAAGTTACTACATGAACATCCTAATATGAAGCTTGTTGTGTTACGAGAAGTTGAAAAATTGTTATTTAGAAAAAATGTAGCACAGCGTGCCCAATATTATGCAATTTGCTTATTAACACAATTTCTTTTAAGCAAAAAGGATGAAAAGCTTGCTTCTACACTTATTGAAGTTTACTTTGCTTTCTTTAAAGCTTGTTTAAAAAAAGGAGAACCAGATTCTAGAATGATGGCAGCAATTTTAACTGGTGTAAATAGAGCATATCCATTTGCAAAAATGAATTCAAATATATTGGATGGTTACATAGATTCTGTGTACAAAGTTGTACATATTGGATCTTTCAATGTTTCTTTAAATGCACTCAACTTGTTATACCAGGTAAATATATATATTATGACCAAATTTTCCTACTATCAGGGATCAAATTTTTATTTTATTTTATTATCCTTTCTTTATTCTTATAGATTACAGGCAAAGATGAAGCTCAATCAAATAGATTTTATTCAACTTTCTATCGGAAATTATTAGATCCACAAATCGGAGTAGCAAATAAACGTGCACTATTTCTTAATCTATTGTTTCGAGTTCTCAAAAATGATCGCAATAAACAACGTATATATGCTTTTATCAAAAGAAGTTTACAAATCGCATTATATTTTCCTGCAAATATGACGTGTGCTACTTCGTATATAATATCCCAAGTTTTACATACACACAAAGAATTAAAAACTTTATTATTAAAACCCCAAGATTTTATTAAAATTGAAAATGAAAATTTTGAATCTAAAGATAGTTCATTAAATTCAGAAAATATCTTTTGTCCTTCTGATGATAAAAAATTGGAAGACACTATTTTATTATCAAATGTTATATCTGAACATAATGAGGAAACTCAATGTGAAAACAAAACACAAAATAATGTAAAAATTGATTTTGATACACATAAAGAATATGATCCTTTTTGCCGCAATCCTCTTTATGCTGGAATAACTAAAGGTTTAAATACAGAATTAATAATGTTATCTAAACATTATCATCCAAGTGTTGCATTATTTGCAAATATTATCCTTGAAGGTATTGTACTTAATATTACTGTATTTATGTATATGAATTATTTGTAATTATTTTATATCATACATATGTTATTGGTAATTGTAGGGAAACCAATTGATTACACAGGAGATCCATTAGAAGATTTATCTTTAATGCGTTTCCTGGATCGTTATGTTTTCAAAAATCCCAAAAAATTAGAAAATAAGAGAGTGCACAAAAAGAATGATCCTTTAGCACAACGTGCAGGATACACACCTAAGGGTATTAGATCCATTCCGATTGATAGTATGTCATACATTAATGAAAAAGAAGGATGCATTCCAGTTGATGAATTATATTTATACCGATATTTAAAAAAGAGAAAAGAATTCAAACATAAATTTACAGTTGAAAATGATGATGTAGAAAGTGTTAATAGCGAAGAATTTAATGATATGTTAAACAGATTAACAGATAATAAAGATTTTGAAGATTTAGATATTGCAGCTGACATTCAAACTATGAAAAAGAAAAAAGGTAATAACTGTAAATTCTACATTTTATTTTTCTAGAAAATATTTCATATTATAAATTAAATATTTGTAGGTACTGAGGAGGAAGATGAAAATTTTGATGATGGTGAAGAAAGTAACAATTCTGATGATATAGAAGAATCAGGAGAAAGTTTTGATGAAGATAATATTGACGATTCATTACAAAATTTAAGTGACTTAGATAACGATGATATAAGTGATCTAGAGTTTGATGAAGACATTGATGATAATATTGAAGATGTTTTAGACAACAATATTCAGTCAAATATAAATAATCAAATAAAAAAGCAGAATAAAAAATTGAAAGGAGTTGATAATAATATATTTCTGTCAGCTGAAAAATTTGCAGAAATATTAGAAGAACATAGTAAACAAAAAAGTAAAGCTGGTGGTACAAATACATTTAATACTGTGGATGGTGCAAGTTCAAAACAAATAGAATGGGAGGTCAAGCGACATCAAAATCTTAGAAATTCTTTAAATAAAAGTAAACGAAAAAATTCTAAAATTTATAAAAGAAATGTAAAAAAGAGCAAACACTGATTAAACATTTAAAGTTTTTTATATTACATCTACTTTTTTTGTATGCTTGCTGTCACCAGAATTGTACATGTTACGTGTCAACAATATTTTGACGGTGATAGCAATCATAATAAAAATTTGAGACATTTATAAATTATAAAAATGAATATTTTAATTGATATGTTATACAAATAAAGAAACTACATATATACTTACATACTAAAACTTTTTACTTCATTTTAATAATTATTATTAGACGACGAAACATTAATCTACAATATAATTATTACATTACGGATACTGAACGTTGCAAAAACTTGTTTTTAAACAATTAATATTTTTTACTTAATGTATCATATAAAAGATTAATTTAAAAATCACAAAAACAGATTTGTTTTTTCATGAAAAAAATGTTTGAAATGTTTGATACTTCCACTATAATAACACTATTATCTTATGTAAAAGTATCTTACCATCAAAAAGGCTTTTACACATTAAAAAGTTTTTAAAAGATTATTTTCATTTACATTTTTGTACGCATCGTACATTGTCACGTTATATTTAAGTAAAAATAATTAAGTTTTCAACTTCTTTAACAACAGAAATAATTATCATATAATCATGTTTACCTACTTGTTGATTTGTAGATTGTAATGATTGTAAAATTAACCAATCAGATGATAAGTTACATTAAAAATTATTGACATTGGAAATATGAACTATCCAAATTTATATCGCAAATACATATTCAAAATAACATATAGTAAAATCTTTTTTATTTAAACCTTTTATTCATTTTCTTAATATTTTAATATCTGAATATTATATTACCAGAGCAGAATATTTATTAATAACTAGAAAAATCATGTTATCTATAGGTATACTGTTCTAGTAATATTTATGATACCTGATACTTGAAAAATAAAGGTTAAAATAAAGAAGACTCTATTATATTTATTTATCTAAATTCTGAAATTAATAATGAAGAATAAGCTTTTAAGGTAACAGTTGCAAAAGAAGTTGTGAGTATACACTTTTTGGAAGTATATTGTAAGAGTATTTTTTTTTCATCAATAGTGACATAAATAGGTAATAAGGATTTCCTATTTTTTAAATTTTAATTTATCAATAATTGTAAAAAAAAACATTAAAATGTATAATACCATTACTGTGCAATGATCAATAAA